AGACAGCTGTGCCACAATGGGAACCAAGTCCTCCTCCCCACCTCTAATTACAAGGAAGAAAAAGTCACTGAAAAAGTAAATGTTGAAAGCGTCTGAATATAAGGGCCACATGTAACCCAAAGCCACCACCTTAAGCTTTGAAGGCGAAGTCCTTGGGAGGCATATCCTAATCACAGCCCGCTTTCAGAGGGTTTGAAATGATCACGGTGGGGACCATTTTCACTCCCCAGGGTGGGAGCTTGTGCTTTCTTGGGTGGGGACCTCTTAAAAAACAAGGGAGACGTTTGATCAGGTAGAAATACTGACATGGTGTTCTTTGCTCTGACTCCATCGGTGACATTCAACAGTGACCACCAAGGATACCCAGGCACCTTCTGGGGCTCTCATTCCAGTGCTTGACTGATGTCCTCAGAGCTGGAGGGATGTGTAGATTCAGTCTTTCCCCCCTCTTCTCTTGGATCTGTTTGGGTCACTGAAGGCTTGAGAAGACCTTGAGATGTGAGGACGATTGTGGCCTCAAAATACCCAGCCCCAGGGCTCTGTGTGGCTCCCAAGAGTCAGACATTTTCCATCTCAGAATCCCTGGATCTTGTTTTTCTACATTGATGCAGCTCCATAGCTCTCAGTGAGACCTTAAAAGGCAGCAGATGACTGGATACAGTGCCTCCATGCTGATTGTGTGCAGTGACAGGAGGACCTTGGGTCAATAAGGGTCATCTGACATCAGCATTAGCATCTTAGCAGTTAGGAGATTTTTAAGTGGTCCCTTGTGCATCTGATTTCAGTATCTATGACACCATCTTGATCCCCCCAGTGCTTGCATCTTCTGAACTCTTACCTTCTTTTTGGCATAACTACCTGATTTAGGCTGTTGGAACTGTCATAACAAAATGCCCGAGACTGGGTGGCTTATAAACATAAATTTATTTCTCATTGTTATTTGGGAAGTCCAGATAAAGGCGATAACAGATTTAGTGTCTCACTGAGGGCCAACTCCCTGGGACATAGATGGCCCCCATCTTCTCACTGTGTCCTCACATAGTGGAAAGGATGAACAATCTGTCTGGGGTCTCTCTTATAAGGTCATGCCTCCCATCTTTAGGAGTTGACCTAATCACTCCTGTATTGGTCAGTTTTCCCTTACTGTAACAAATACCTGAGCTAGCCACCTTTTAAAGAGAAAAGGTTTATTTTGACTCATAGTTCTGGAGTTTCCTTTCCATGATCCTTTGGGCCAATTTCCCCAATCGCCTCATGGCTAGAAAGCACAAAGAGAAAGAGGAAGAAGCTTGAGGACTGCTTTTGAGGGCTTATGTCCATGACCTAAAGGCCTCCCAGAAGGCCTCACCTCTTAAAGGCTCCACAACCACCCAATAATGGTACCTTGAGTACTTTTGGGGGACATTTGAGATGCAAATTATAGCACTTTCCAAAGGCCCCACCTGCTAATACCAAGCCTTTGGGGGCTAGAATTTCAACATGTGGATTCTGAAGGAACCCAGACATTCAGACCACAGCACCACCCATGGGACATTTCTCATGGGTCCTTGATTGTTGGAAAACTATGTCACATCTTTCTATGAAATAAAGTCCTGCTCATTTTTTTGCCATCCTCCTGCCTCTGTTAACCTTCCAACTACATAAGACTGGGTATGGTCCTCTGTACTCTGAAAGCGAACAACAAATATTACCGAATCATTTACTCTTCTTAAAAATTTGTCTGTACCCACCTTCTTTGAGAAAGCATTCCAAGGGTTCCATAAGATTTATAAAATGCAGCCAGATGGGCCAGATTATTTTCTGACCTAGGGCTTTGATTAATTCTAGTGCTTTGCAGACCTGAGAACCAGAAGAGTTGACACCTGAGAGAATCCCTTCCTCTCGAAAACAAAGATGTAGTTCTGAGAATGGTTCTCCTGAGTCTGAAAAGAAGACTCACATTCTGGCATCTCATGTTTGATTATGTAGAGACTCACATTTTCCTATAGGTGAATCTTGTTTTTCACTCCCTGTAATATATGGCACTAGGAGAGAGGTATCACCAACTACATTTTTATTCACCAAAGGGCAAATGGAACTCAAACATGGCCCATAGAAGGTGTGCGAACCACACTTTGGCCTAATTTGAGCCTAGAGATAGAATTTGCTCATAACAACGACAGCAAATGATATGACATTTCCATTGCTTGTTCCCATGATGGGGGCCAGTTGTTACCGGCCCCTAAGTCCTTTTAAATGTTTATAGTATTTAATGGAATATCCAATTTCTGTGCCAGTTAGGAATCTGGATTTCAAGAACAGAAACTAAGACTTGTTAGTTTATACAGAAAAGGAATTTCTTGGAAAGATATGTGGCAGCTCCCAGAATCTGTGGGAAACTCGGAAATCACTAGAGAAATGAGCAGAAAGGAGTGGGTGGGTTTGGTAGCAAGGCCCCACTGCAGGGACATAGTCTCATTGCTGCCTTTGATTTACCGCCAGGGGTTCCTGCCATTGCCTCCCTGGAGTCACACGACTGTCATTGCTACAGTACTCTCCCAACAGTCTCAGTGACCAGGGCTTTCTCCCACAAGAGTTAAGCCCTGAGGTTTCAGTCACGTCTGGAGAAGCAAAGTGAGTGATTTGATTTTGTCTCTCACTGTTAGAGTCTGTAAACAAGTCTGGATGGCGCCTGGCATTTTGCCAGAGGGAGTGGTTTGAGAAGTAATAAAAGCGAGCCATTAAGTGTGGAGATTCCTTATTGGTTGACTGCTGTATCTAGTTTATGTTAATTAGATAAGCTGTGTGGAATGTGTATATACCCCTCCTGTCCTACAATAAACGGCTTCCACTCCTGCTGTATCAACATTCACAAGTTGTTCATCACCACCCCCCCCCCCCCCGGTTATTTTGCTGCAGCCGGACTGCGGCATCTCACATAAGCTCCCCAGTCCCATGATGATCCACCTGCGCACCCTATAATCCTGAGTCCTCCATGCCCTTAACACCATCTAAGGCAGACTCCAAGCCCTGTCCTCAAGGAGCATTTCATTTCAGATAACTCATATAATAATTCAGCCAGCTATTTTCCAATGGGATTCTGAATCCCACCTGGGAGCAATGGAATTTTTCTATCCTCAACCAGATAACAGCCTAACATCTCCTCCCCATTTTCCCAGGAGTTGGTAACTGACAACCCACGCACAGTTTGCAATGTCTCCCTTGCTAGATTGCAAACTTCATGGGGGAGGAAGTTATTTTTGTTGGTTAGTGCGGTGCCATTGGTTGGATTGCTGTCAGATAAAAAACAGGTGTTTGATACATGTTTTTTAAAAAATGAATGAATGATTTCAATAGCATCACAGAGCTATGTTTGGAAATTATTTACTGGAATTCTGAAATTCCTCAGGTGTAGCCAAGGTCAGCCATCAGAGAGCATGTATGTGGCTCTAGGGAAATCGAAACATTGGAAGTAGGAAGGAATCTTAGTTCTTTCTTAAAGGCCAGTGAGTAACAATCTCTGGTTATAATCCCCAAGTCCACCACTATTTCAAACCAGAGCCTGCATATGGGGTCGTGGGTTTGATAATCTGAACCCCTCTGCTAACCAAATTGGAGGCTATTTGCTTACATCCACAAATGAAGTAGATTAAGGCATGGCCTGGGCCTTGTGTCCAGGTGGAAGCTCCTAGTCCTTCATGCTAAGCTATGACTGCTAAGTGATTGACTGAGACCTCCTAGAGATCCAAATCTGTATTTGTAGTGGCAATTATTTGAAGAGCATTGCTTAGAAATTTCTGTAGATAAATAATGTACTTGAGTGTTTTGTTGAGTCTTTGCTGAGTAAGGCATTACTCAGAAATTATCCAAACAAAATTCCATCGGTTCTGCACATACATTTGTTTATCCAAATATCAACAGCACAGATGGTGTTCATGGTAGTCTACTCATTGGTATATGACTTCTCCATTTCTGGGGAAAGAGTAAGTCAAGCACTACCCAGGGGAAATTTACTGTGGGTTAATGCAAATCCATAGAAAGCTACTTATTGGTCAAACAAATCACAGTCAAATTTGGAGTCTTAGAGAGACTTAGAAAGTGACCACAGAGAATATCCACTCCAACTTCTTGATTTAAGAGGACACTGAGGACCAGAATAGGGTGATTCTACTTAAAGGCCTATGCTGGACTGGAACTCAGATTTACCTCTTAGAATTCTAAGACTGGTGCTGTGGTTTTGGCCAATGGGACTGTGTTAGTCAGCTTTCTGTCTCTGTGACAAAACACCTGAGATAATAATAAGGAAAACACCTGAGATAATAATAAGGAAAGATTTATTTTGGCTCTTGGTTTCAGAGGTTTCAGTCAAGGGTCAGCCAACTCCCATTGCCTTAGGCTTGAGGTGAGGCAGAACATCATGGTGGAGGGGTCTAGTGGAACAAAGCTGTTCACTTCATGGCAGCCAGGAAGCACAGAGAAAGAGAAAGCCAGGGGCCAGGGATAAGATAGTACCTTCAAAGGCACTATTGATAGCATCTGCCTCTAATATATAACTAGGCCCCACATCCTAAAGTTTCCACCACTTCCTGTGTTGCTACCAGCTGGGGAACAAACCTGCAACACATGAACCTTTGGGGAACATTCCAGATACAAAGTGACAAGGACTGAGGGATTGGTGACATGAACAACCTCCTTTAAGCCTAAAGTCTAAGCAGTTCTCAAGTACCTTCTAATGCTTTCATGGGTTCCTTTCTTTTGACTGAATGTTTGCTTTTACTGATTGCTCTTTCCCTGATGCACTGCCTTTGTCTCGAGGAGCCCCACAGGGCTTTCTACAGTTGGCCAGCCAGCGGCCCTCTTGGCGTACAGTCAGATTCTTGTATCTGGCCACGACCCACCTGTTCTCTGCGCCTGTTTCCTAAATGCCCTGGCATTAGGGAGGGAGGAACTCTTCTCTCAGAGTGGGTGGAAGGCCTTCGGTGGGCCAGAGTCTGCACAGCTGGGATTCATTCCGTGTGGGCCTGGGGAGGGCAGGTCCATCCCTAAGTGGAAACTTGTTCTCTGTCAAACATGAGCCAAGTCCATCTGCCCCACACCTTCTTTACACGAATGTTCTCCCGGCTTCTTGGGAAAGTAACTTTATCCTAGTCCCTCCAAGCTGAGGCCAAGAATTGAAATGTTAGCAGAGGCTCACTGGGAAGCAGGAACAGAAATCAAACAGCTCGAGATGTGACCCTTCTTGCCCATTGCAACTCGGATGGCTCGACTTCCAGCTGGAATGTGGAGCGCAGACCTCATGGCACACACTGAAACGGCTGAAACTCACACCTGGATCCCACACCAACCCGTTGGTACGAGGAAGTTGGGATTTCCTGAACCCGGAGCACTGATTTTTGTAATTTTTCTTTCTTTCTTTCTGTTTTAACTGTTCCTTTCTAACTTTTAAGGAAGTGGGGAATGTGTGTGGGCAGAGAGGCTGATTTGGTTAGCAGCAGATTTCTCCTCCACTTGCTTCGTGCAGTGAATTTAGGAGCTCAGAGAGAAAGGAAAACACAATTAGAATAGCCCACTCATTTATTGTTCCTGGCAGGTACGCTGAGGCCTCTGTGTTCCTGTCTAACACAGTACCTTCGCCTCTAGCCTTGGGAAAACAAAACCCTGAATAACATTGACCTCATCACCCCTCCCTGAACGGATGAAATAAACAAGGGAATCTTGGCCTGGAGAGATGAAATTCTCCATCTCCCAGGAGGGGCAGAGGCAGGTCCCTGGAGAGCAGAGCTCCCCCTGCAGCTGGACCCCGTGCAAGCCAAGGCCGAGGAATGGTCAGTGGGTGCACGAGCTGGTTGTAGTCTGTGGGCGTGGGGGTGTCCAAAGAGGCCAGAATGTAATAGGCACTCCTCTTGGGCTCTTTGGCCACTGGTTTAATGTTTCTCTGGTTCCCTCTTCAGAGAGCTGCATGGAGCTCACCGAGAGCTGGCTAATGGTGAGACCATAAAAGGAAACTAAACAATGGCGGGTTTTGGATGGCAAATTCCCACCCTAACCAGGTAATCTGTTTCCACATCTTCAAAACAGCCACAGACCCCCCAAGTTCTGGGGCCACAGTGAGGGATAACCTCCTACTCCGGGGTGGCGCACATCAACTATGGGCCAAATCAATGGCAGCTCTCACCGCGAAGAATTCTCTGCACCTTGAGTGGAAACTTCCCCACTGCAGGTCAGTGCGAGGTTCAGACGTGTGGGTCCGTGGTCCAGCTGGTGAGTAAATATCGCCGGTCTTTTCCAGTAGGCTGCGGATGCTCTGCGCTCAGGGGTGAGCTCTGCGCATGTCTTGCCCTCTTTTACCTTTGCTACTTCTTTCTTAGGTGAGGCACCAGGAATTTGTGAGACAGCAGAGGCCTGTTGTTGGCCTGTAGGGACAGAGATGGGGAGAAGGAGTTCTCACACTGAGTAGGGGGCCTTTTTCAGGCTTGTGTTCTGGGGCCTCGGGGATTCCATGCACCTGTGTGTGAAGGGAGCTGTCTGGAGATACGACAGGTGAACACAGTGGCCCCAGGTCCCGGTTACAGACTGGGGAGGATAGACAAGGGGGTGGAACTGGGGAGGATATAGGGGACAGTGGCATTGCCACTGGGTCCAGGGCAGGGAAGCCTCTGGGTGATATTCCAAAAGCTATGACATAAGGGACCCAGGAAACAACCAATGGCTGATTGCTGTTCTTCATTCCAGAAATGGTAGCGTTGGTGCAGAGCTGGGTGTCCTGCCCTCTGGGAAGGGCACGTTCCCCAGGAAGGAGGCACTGTCGAGATCTGTGGGTTTCTCGGCCTTTTTTCCTCCAGGACTAGAGTTCTGGGGTGTCGATGGAGAAAGGGAAAGAGAGAAGAAAGGAGGTTCTGCTGCCATATTTTATCTCCTTTACAATTATGCCCTGAGCAGTCAAGAGTCAAGTGGTCTTGAAGACAAAAGAGAAGGAAGCAAGAAAAGCTAATACTTTTTTGCTCAGTCCTGGCTTTCATTTGCCTGTAAGCACCCTAATGACAACCGAGATTTATGTATGAGACCAGGATGATGTATAAAGAATTAGAGAAGCAGACAGGAAAACAGCAGCCCGGGCAGTCTTGTAAATGAGATGGGGAAACGTGAGCCCCGGGCAGCTGCTGGAGACTTTGCCTCAGGCCCCCGGGATGGGCTCCATGTCTCTGTGGGGGTTGGAGACAACAGAAGAGATACCCAGGAAGCCAGAGGCTGGCCACACTGATGCCCAAATGCCCACAAATTAGACACCAGACCCACAGCCTCATTACCAGGCTTACCACCAGCCCGGAGGTAAAATCTGTGAACTTGATGCTAGTGCTGCTTGGAGATCTGCTCTGATCATTAATAGAAAAGAAAGGTAGAGAATATTGAATTTCTGATTAGGCTTGCTGACTGATGCTTATCAGCCTGGCTCTGATTCCTCAGGTGCCATTTATCATTTTTATTACTAGTAAATAAATCATTATTATCTACATAATGTTGCTTTTGCAAAACAGGCTGGGCTTGCAGGAAGTCTAGCCTCATCATGTGGTGGGTGGGAGGTGGGACCTGCAGGGTACAGCAGCCATTTTGTGCTCTGTGGTGGCTCCAGGGCTGCCCAGCAAAGTCTGACCTGGGATGGTTGTGAGTGCTGGCAGCCAGGGCCTAGCCAGGGAGGGATGGGTTTGGAAGTGGGCTGTGAGGGGCGAGGGCCAAGGTGCTGCCCATCAGTGAGCAGCTCTGTCTGTGTTCCCCCCTATGCACCATGAAGGATTCAGGCTCCCACCCTGTCCTGGGAGGAAGGATCAGAAAGCCACAGAATCACTATTTCTCCCACAGAAGCCAGGCCCTCTTCCTAAGAGGCATCCAATCAACCTCTAGGGTCACCTGCAGGCTCCGAGGCAGGAACTCGTTTGAGTTATCTGGAGTGAGAAGGGGCTGCTTTTACATCTGATAAGCAGATGGACATTTAGGTTTGATAACTTAAATGGACACCTGTCACAGCTTGTCCTTGTCCTGCTGTCCCTCCAGGCATCGTCACTGAAGACCCCAGGGCAATAGGAACCCCCAAGCTGCCTGCTGAGGCCAGAGAACACCCGTACTGTGCAATAGTTACATTGAATTTTTTTTTTTAAGCTGTCACATCTCACAGGCCCTCAGCCCTTTTGGAGGACTCTGCTCCCAGGAGAGAGCTCTGCTTTGCCTTCATGGTCCCTCTTGCCGGTGGCAAATGACTCCACTCCTGACCTCTGGGTGGAGCCATCCATTAGCAGAGTGCAGTCAGAGAAGGCACTGCAGGCCCTGCTGGCTGTTCAGGGTCCTCCACCTTCTGTTCCTCAATATACAATTTCACCTTCACAGTTACCAGCAGGCAAGTGAAATAGCCCGACTCAGAACGACGAGTGCGGTACGTTCTCTCTCACATGCAAAACTAGAGAGGAAAGAAGGGAGACCCTTAGAGCAGAGGGAGAGGATGGAGGAAGGAAGGAGGGAAGGGCAGTGGAGGTATTGGGGAGTGAAATCAAATCATGCCATATGTATGTACGAATACACCACAACGGAACCCACTGTTCTGTGGAATTAACAGGAACCAATTAACAGGAAAAAGAAAGAAGAAAAGAATCACCGATGTGTAATTGGTAACACAAATGAAAAGTCCCGGGTGGGGGCACCTCCAAAGGCCAGCACAATCGCCGCAGGCCTTGCATTGTCTGTGGCCGGCTCTAAGGAGAAGCAGAACTTCCCGCTCCCTGCTCTGCCTTCCGCCCCTGCAGTTTTCTTTCTCTGGTTTTGTCATCTCTGTCGGTGACTTCATCGTAGACAGGAGGCTCCATCCGTTCAGCAAGTGAAGATCAAGCCAAATAGTTTTCTGATCAGCTCCCTCCTCCCGTGGGCTGGGGCCTGGCTCTCTCAACCAGGCCTTTCTTTCCCAGCCCTGGCCTTTGCTCCCTGGCCAGGTCTGAGGCCCCCTCTGCTGGTGGCTGGCCTGCACGGCACGCAGTGAAAGGCCTCCTGCAGTGCAGGTGGGTGGGGCGAGGTGTCTGCCCTTAGAGGAGAGGAAACTCAGAAGTTTAATGGGTGCTTAATTCTTTTTTTGGCATCGTAAAATGAATGATACTGTGAGATAATGACAGAGAATTTGTCCAGCTGGGCCTATTGAACTTGGGCTTTGCTTTTCCAAGTTGAAATACCAACCTTCTAGTGGCCTGGGTTTGGGCACCTCATCTAGGTACACATTTTTGATGCCTCCTTAGCCAGGAAGGGCCCCTAAATGGGCTTTGTCCTTTTAGGGCGATTTTCTGTGTTGCTTTCACCCTTCATTCTTTCTGAGATCCAGCACGGAGCATGGAGCCTGGCACACAGCAACGGCTGAATGTTTCTTTAAATGATCAGTTCTTCATAGGCGCGAAGGAGAAAGATCTGGTTTACTGCTATGCAGCAAAACGAAAAGGGCATATTATCTTACAAGCCATTGGGATAATTGTCGATTGCTCTCAAAAGTTACGCAAGCCGGTACTGCACACCCAGACCACCTGTGACCAAGGCCTGACCCCGGCTAACAGCCCACCAGAGTTCCCAAGCTAGAACTTCCTATGCGCACTGCTAAAATGTTCACAGGTGGACAGAGGGATGGGCGTGTAAGCACAAGTCAGGCCTCTAAAAGTAGAGCAATGAGGGGCCGGGGTTGTGGCTCGATGGTAGAGCACTTGCCTAGCATGCATGAGGCACTGGGTTTCTCAGCACCATGTATAAATAAGTAAGTAAAATAAAGGTCCATCCACAACTAATACAAATAGTGAAAAAAAAAAACAAAAAACAAAAAACCAACTACCTGCATGCTGCTTGTTGATCTACCATCTATCTGCCTACCTACCTGTTGGTTGTCTCTGGACTGGATTTCCTGAAGTACAGTAGTATGGAAGCCCTGGGCACATGCCACTTGTGTTGGGCAACCCTGACCTTCGCCTCCCAACCCAGTGGTGGTCACAGTGACCACCCCTTCATCCCCAAAGCCGGAAGAGGCCTCATCAAAAGCCCTTTTGTTTGCTGTCCTAGAAGGACTGGTGGGACAAGTGCCATGATTGTGTGTTAATTAGCTGGTCTTGGCCTTGGGAGAATCATGGCCACTACTGAGCAGAGAGAGATTCAGAGCTGCTGAGCTGAGCTGGACCTGCCAGCTGCCCCCCTGCTACGCTAATCCTCACAGAGCTTTGTGTCCTCAGTGCCTTTCTTTCGTGACCTGGCTTTTGTGGCCAGCTGTGCTCAGGCCAGCTCTCAGGACTATAGGTGGGAGCCAGGAAGGTGCCCGCCTCTGGTTAGGGGGGCCCTGTTGTTCCAGGTGAATCTCTCATACCAGGCTCCTGCCATCCATCACCCTGCATCACTCTGGTGAGTGAGGACCAGCCCTGCCCAGTCCAGGAAGCCTGATGCTTTCTGCATCAGGCCCAAACCTCCCAGGTAGTTCCCAGAGGCCTGAACCCTCCCTCCCCAGGCCTTATCCAGCTTACCCCTCCCTTCATCTCCCTCCTACCCACCGTGGACTTCTCTGACCTCACTGAACCCCAAAGGTCCCTTCTAGGTCTTCACCTCTTGTTCCCTCATGACTACACCTCATACATTCTCCCCTCTGTCCTGTCTTCTCTCTAGCTTGGAGCACAGAGGCCACATTCAACTGTTTGGGTCCAGCCTGGAATGAATGCATCACAGATGCTCCCTTTTTGAACTCCTATGCCATTTATGTATCAGGCAGAATCCTGCAGGAGGCTTCTGCAACTTGGTGATGAATCCTTTAAGGCGGGGCACAGTGTTGGTACAGAGGACCAGTCACTTGCAGGCCTGGGGTTCTTGGGCTCTGGTCCTGGCCTCTCTGCTCGTCATTAGCCCATGAACAAATGATCTCTTCTTCAGTGGCCCTCAACTAGGGGGCAGTTTGGCCCCTCGAAGACCAGAGAATTTCATAACTGGGATGGTGCTCCTGGCTTCAGGGTCAGGGATGCTGCTCAAAATCCTGCTGTGCACAGGATAGCCCCCACCTCAGCCCCCCAAATGTCGGCTACCCTGTTTCCTGAGTTTCTCTCCTCACCTGTAAAGAGGATGATGGTAAGACACTCAGCCAGGCAGAGGAAGATGTGGACACTGCAGCCGCCTAAGCCCTCCCTACACTCTGTGTAAGTCCACATTCAACCAGGAAGCAGGGTAGGTGTGGGGACAACAGGGAACATGGAATGAAGGCTTTGCCATTCCTTTGTCGGTGACAAAGCCCACCTGCATCACCATGAGCATAGTCCCTGCTTTGTAGAAGAGGACTGGGCTTCACTGTGGAGGTAGCACCTGGGACACACACTTGGTGGACATGGGGCTGCTCGGGCCACTCGAGCCACTACTCACTGATATGAGCGCAGCGTGCACTCACCCTTGCAGCTGGCAAATGGACTCAGAGTAACCAGGGCCCATGGACACTTTCCTTCTGGTGGGTTCAGTGAGGACAGAGAAGCAGCTGGGTGCACAGGCAGAGGTGTCTACACAACCCAATGCTGTCCCCCGCAGCCATGCCTTGTTCTCTGTGGAGATGGATGTTAATGTTCAGGGAAAGGTCGCCACACCCCCGTCAGGACACCCCTACACCAGGATGGAAGGCCCAGGCTCAGCCATATTCCATCTACCAAGCCACGGTTTGCCACTGTCTTTAATATTTGAAGAAAAGATGCAGCTTCTGCGGCCTGCCTATCCTGACCCAGGCAGCCTTGGGGAACAAAGTCACTCATGGCTGTTCATCATTCCTATCTGTTTTTCCATTTAGGAAGTAGGAGGTTAAATGGCATCTGAAGGGAAATCTCTTTTCAAGGTTCTCCTCTGAAAATCATTCTGGAACTGGAAAGGGTGATTCCTATGCCCTGGGCATTAAAGCCTTTAAGGCTACTAACATTGGCATGATTCCATGAGTGATGAGCAGCGGGGGGTCATAATCCTTCTGGTGGCAAAAACTTGGTAGGGAAAACATCAGTCCAATGAGAAGATAACACATTGCCCGTTCCCCGGTAAATAAAACAGGCCACATCAATTTCTCTTCTGCCTGTGAACGATGACCAATTTGTCAAGTATACACTGAATAATGACTTTCCTCAGAGACAGCAGCTCTTATGATAAAGTGTTACTGCTCTAGCTACATTATTATAAACAACATCCAATTTATGAAGTTAGGAAGCAGATGCGTTTCTCAGTAATGTGTCACCATTATCTAGAACGAGCCATAAAATCGAGGCTGTCATGTATTCTCTAGCTGCAAACTTCAGACAATTAATGTTCCAATGAAGCGGCCCTGATCACAATCCCAATTTTGAAATTAGTTGTTCAATCTGATGATTAAATTCCAGAGCTGGACCTCGCTGTGGCCAAATGTGACAAATCCTAATGCAACTTTTCAGACAGAGGGAACTGTTGGAGACATTGGAGTTTTTTGGTGAATTTCAAATGAGGCATCTTCACCTCAAGAGAATGCCACTATCTTACCTAGATGTTCAGAGGAGAATGAGGTCACTGATAATATTTCCCTGCATCCAAATACCACGGCTGTTTCCCAACCCTGAGTCTGTGTACAGAGGTGCTCTCATGGCGGATGGACCCACCACCTTGATGGATGGTGGAGGCCCAGCACCGTTCTCCCCTAAAGGTCATGAATGGGCAACCCCTGTTTCCTCACCAGCCCCCTGAGGGGGCATAGAAAGCTGCAAGTCTGCAGGATCGCAGATGAGAATTAGGAGACAGGAGACGGTGGGAGAATTAAGTTTAGAGTGATATTTGAAAATGTGACCTTCGGTGGTGCAGTGGATGCTGCTGGAAACGGCACGTTCAGTGCTAGAGACATTGTCCCTGTCTAATAGCTTACTTTAAATATCTGAGCAGGGCCATGCTAGACATTTTCATTCATAATATGTCAGCAAAGACAGTTTTGTTCTGTCAGTTAGTTTGCAAAACCTATTTCAGTATTCAGTTTGCATTGAAACATGCCCATTTATTTCCTTTGTCATTTCAGAAGTGCTGTTCTTTGTGCCTCTGTGGGCTCCTCAGGATGGTGATGGATTCTGAAGATGGATTTCACTATGTGAACATAAACCATTGTGTTTAAAATTGAAGAACTAGGAAAGGAAAAAAAAAAACAGGCGGAGTGCAGTGGCACACACCTGTAATCCCAGTGGCTTGGGAGGCTGAGGCAGGAGGATCACGAGTTCAAAGCCAGCCTCAGCAAAAAGCAAGGCGTTAAGCAATTCAGTGAGACCCTGTCTCTAAATACAAAACAGGGCTGGGGATGTGTCTCAGTGGTCAAGTGCCCGAGTTCAATCCCTGGTACCCCACACCCCCAAAAAACAGTACTCACTGATTGCAAGTGTCTGAGGAAATGGACACTTTTCCACACTGATTGAGAAGGTGCACACTGTTAATGAAACTTGGTGCCTTGTTTCATTGCTATAACATAATGCCACAAGATGCGTAATTTATAAACAATAGAAGTTTACTGGCTCACACTCTGGAAGCTGGGATATCGACGAACATGGCACCAGCACCTGGAGAAGGTCTTAGTTCTGTGTCATCATGAAGTAGATCAAGCAAGCATGTGATAAACAGAGAGGAGATGGGGGAACTCAGCTTCTTGGTCAAGAACCCGCTCTCATGATAATGAACCCACTCCTGCAATCAAGGTATGGGGCTCTGCCCTCATGACCTAATCGCCTCTTTAAAGTACCGCTTCTTAGTACTGCAGGGAAGCAGCAATTAAATTTCTTTTTCTTCTTCTTCTTTTAAAAATATTTTTGTAGTTGTAGAGGGACACAATACCTTTATTTTGTTTTTCGTATGTGATGCCAGGAATCGAACCCAGTGCCTCACACATGCTAGGCAAATGCTCTGCCACTGAGCCCCAGCCCTAGCCCGCAGCAATGAAATTTCAACATGAGTTTTGGAGGGGGACAGTCAAGCCATAGCACTTGAAAAAGACAATTTGGCACAAGTATCAAAATCCATATCCTTGACTCAGCCATTTCACTTCCAGACATTTTTCCTAAGTAAAGAAGTTAGTAGGCGGTTGCTGAGTAAATTACCCCTTGCATTTCTAAAAACTATGGAAATGCATGTCTAGCATAAAGGGATTTGTTACATAAGCACCAGGACCCCCATGAAATGTACTGGTACACAGCTGTAAAGTCATGCTAGGGAACATGTTATGAATCTATTATTCAATGCAAAAATCCAAATGATTTAAAAATGTAAAGAGCAAATGTATTGTATAATCTCGATTTTATATATGAAAGGATGTATAATATCTGATTTGGAGAAAAGAATACAGACTATCTCTGTATGGTGAAATAGGGAGTGAATTTCAATTTTTTTCATTTGTGTTTTTCTGAATATTCTGTAATAAACATGCCAATATGCTTGTTATCAGAGAAAAATAAATACTGTGATTATTAAAGAATGTTGACTCATGAGGTTAGCAGAATTCTTACAAAGGATTCATATGATTTACTACACTATAAGTTTCTAAAGTTGGGAAATGGATAGGGGGGCTTCTTTTTTATTTTTGTTTTTGGTGTTGTTGGGAATCAAACCAGGGTTTCACATATGCTAGGCAAGTACTCTACCATGGTGCTAAGCCCCAGTCCCTTAGAGATTCTATTTATGATTAAGTGATTTTGGAGAAGCAAGGAAAAACTAGGGTCATTCAAGCACAGGAAATTCTCTAAAGAACAAGTATATGATTATTTCACCTTGCAGAGACGATGTGAGCAGTGTACAGGATATGTTTTGGATTAGAAGTCATCATAAGCTAGAGAGAAAATGGTCAAGTTACCTCATAAAATGGCTTTTAATTCTGATATCATTAGTTATCTGTCCCTGCAAGATGAAGTAGTGAAGCCAATGGTAATTATACCCCTACCATGCAGAGTGTGTCTTGTGCACAAAAGATCCAGTATGAGAAGAACTCAGCCTGGGGAGTTCTACCCATCTGGTTGGTGGCTCTGTGAGTTAGTCAACTACTAATAATTTTATTATTTACTATAATAAAATACCAGGGAACATCAACTTATAATGAAGATAGGTTAATTTTGGTTCACAGTTTTTAAGGTTTTAGTCAGTGACAATTGGCCCTATTGCTCTGGGCATGTTGCACAGTATATCACGATGAGAAAGATTTGCAGAGAAAGTCCATCCACTTTATCATGGAGTATAAGAAAAGAAAGGAAGGGGACAGGACAGGATCCCATAGTTCCCTTCAATGGCACATCTCCAATTATCAGAATACCTCCCTTTAAGCCCCAACTTTTAAAAGTTCCAAAACTTCCCAATAGCTCATGGGCTGGGGCCAAAGCCTTTGGGGAATACTTATCCAAACCATAGCACTCAGTGAGAGCAAGCCCTACACCTCCAAGTGTCCCCAGTTAGAAATGATAGGGAAGGTGGGAATGTCCTTGTTCAGGAGTTCCCATAAACACTGCGCCCTTTGCCATTCACATCCGTCCACATGTGTGTATGTGTGTGTGCATTTGTGCCTGCATGCATGTGCATGTGCCAGTCACACCCATCTACCTATGTGTAGATGTGCATGCTGTGCCAGCTACAGCCTATCCTGTGTGTGTGTGTGTGTGTGTGTGTGCTCATGCACGAGCCACAGTCCATCTGTGTGTGTGTGTGCATGTGTGTGCGTGTGTGCCTGCGTATGCCTGCCACACCAAACGATGAGGGTCCTGCTGCCCAAGCTGGTAAACCCCGGATGGGACACTGTTAGTACAATGCCTGTTCCCTGTCCCTTAATACATAGCTATGTCCTCTTTTCATGGTGCTGAGTGCTCAGTTCCTTAGAATCCTACGGGTTGCAATTGCATTATGCCTGACACAAATGCTCAACAGAGGTGGGACTGCATTAGAGCAGGAACATGGTTCAATATGAAGCACTTTTTGTTTCCTTGAGCCTCCAAATGAAAACCAGCAGGGCTCTGATCCTGTGAAAACCAAAAAAGCCCCTGTAATTCTTCCAAAGCCTCTGGAGGAGCCCTGCTGTAATAAAGTTTCAATATCCAAATAGAATTGGGTGGATTCTTGACAGCTTTGGACCCAACTCCTCTCTTAACCTGTGACTTCTCCTCTAGGTGCCAGACAGTGACTTCGAATGCCCTCGCCTTCGTAAGATGGCTTTCCTATTAGTCATTCCTAGCTTTACAACACTCCATCCCTCTGAGAACTTATCCCAGTTGGATATTTGGAACCTGGAACCTTGACCAGTTTTGTGATGTGATAAATCTTAGCATATCAAAAGTTGAGTTCAAGGCCCCATTATTTTAACCTACTCATTTATTCGTTCATTCACGAAAATCAATATTTGTTAAGAAAGTACTACTAATTAGGCATGGCCTTGGATGCCAGGATATAATAATGAGCAGAAAAATCAATCAAGCAATCACATTAATAAAATAAAATTGCAAACTGGGATGCAAGTTCTGGGGAAGGAGAATAACAGTTAGAGGAGAATTGTTATAAAGGAGCTGGCAAGTTCAAGTGGTCAGAGATGACCTTTAGTGAAACAAGATTGAAGCAGCATCCGAGGGCCAGGCAGGGCTAGCTGGCTGAAGGGGTGGTGGTGATGGTGCTATTTGATTGCTCTAGACAGAAGGAACAGCGTGTGTAAAGGCCTATTTGAGAAAGCCACTAGGGTGTGGGAGGAATTGAAAGAAGCCAGTGTGGCAGAACACAGAGAACAAGGGACGTTTGAATAGGGGCCTTGTAGGCTCGTTAGAGAATTTGTATTTATTTTAAGAGCAATAGAAAGCCCTAGGAGGACTTTAAACTGAGGTTTTAAAATCCGATATGCGTTTTGGAATGATGATGAGAGATGCAGTCTGGGGATCCGATTGGAAGCGAATTCAACTGAATCCAAAGAGAAGGCCCCCACAACCGTCCAGGTGATAGACGAAAGCAGTCTGAACTAAGATGGTAGTTGTGGAGTCCATGAGCCGTGGGTGGACTTTAAGGCTCCTTAGGAGGTAACGTGGTTGTGGCTTGGAGATGGGTTGTTTTGTGTTGTGAGAATGAAGGAGATGATAAGGAAGGTTCTCTGTTTTCCTGCTTGGGAGACCTCCAGTGTGGATGTTGATGCCATTCACAAATGTGGAGCCTCAAAAGGGATTCCAGGGGGATGGCCCTGAGGGCTGGGGGACACCTTGCATTTCTTTTTGGATAATTTAGGTTTGGAGTGTTTGGGGGACAATTTGAAGAGAAGTCAAGTAGGGAATGGCCTTGGGGAGGAGTGGGAGGAGGGGAGACGACAGGAGGTATTGCAGTCTTGGGCTTGCAGGTCTTTGAGAACATTTGTTTCTGTCATATTTTCCTTTTCCTGATGGTTCTGCCACATGCTGGGGTGACCACTCAGTGTGACAAGTGGCAAGAGAGGCTCAGAATCCCACTGGCATGAGAAGAAGAAACTAAACCTTCTCTTTAAAGATATATTTAAGATAGGGTTAGAAGTGATATGTGTCCTTCCGGGACCTGGAGTAACAGTAAATCTAGGCTCTTTTAATGGCTCTGCAATATTGATGAATTATGAATCAAAATCTTAGGAAAAAACATTTGGAAGCATCTGAGTCATTCAGATTCCCTAAAGTATGATAATCACCCAGCTAGATGGAAAGATGGGCTCTTTCATGAGGCGGAGGCCTGTGTAAGTTTTGAGGAAGATTCTCCGAGGACCTGTCCCTGATCACTTTTCAGCCCTTGCCAGTGGCCATGCATGAATGAGATTGTGCTAGTGATGGCTCCCTGGCTTCTCGGCAGGAGTGTGGACAGTGTGGGGGGTGTCACTTTTAATATTTAGGTGGTGGGGTGTTTTGGACATTGACCACCAATTCTTTTCGGACATTGACCAGTGACTCCCTGTCAGTACCTGTGCGTTCAACCAAACAACTCATTCCTGACACTATCTGGATTTAGCATAGACCCCACAGATTCGAGATGCCCCACTTCAGATGCCAGTCACAAGTCCCGAATCTCCTGTTTTCTGAAGGACTGGTTATCCATTGAGAGTTCCCATAATAATTTGCTAGAATAGTTTCCAGAACTCAAGAACACACTTGATTGATGTTTAGGTTCAGAAGGGTCCTTAGCATAGGAGCTTCTGTTCCTATGGAGTTAAGGTGTGCACATTCCTGGTACCTGGATACGTTCACCATTCCATAAACTCTTTGAATCTGGTCACATAGGACATTTTATGGAGCTTTTATCACATAGGCACCATCTATTACTAACTCCATCTCTAGCCCCTCACCTTTCCCCAGAGGTTGGAGCTCAAAGTTCCAGGATCCCAATCAAGGCTTGGTCTTTCTGGCAAAAACTCCCCATCTTGAAGCTATTTAGAGGCCCCCACAAGAGTCACCTCATTAGAACAAAGACGCTCTATCCCTTCCATAACTCAGGAAATTCCAAGAGTTTTAGGAGTTCTGTGTCAGGAACTGGGGACAAAGACAAAATACATATTTCTTATTATGCCTCAGGGGGCCATTGCACTCGGGCATGCTCCCTGGGTCGGGTTGCTCTCGTGGGAATCCTGGAAGTGATTTAGAGCTGACTTCAGCAGCATCCTCCTCCTGTCCCCCTAAGCAATGTCTTCCCTCCCTGGGCCCTCATTGCCAGCAGAGGGAGCCTGTGCCTGGGGCCTGTGTCCTGCCTTCCACAGCGCTTGGCTGGGTCAGAAAGCCCCAAATCTGGGCAACTCAGGACATGAAGCAGAGGACACTGTGGGATAGGGAGGAGTTGTATACAGGCCACGTGTTTGTGTCTCTGGAGAATGGCTGTCTCACAACAGTGGGAACTCTTCTACCTTAGTCACGATTTCAGCAGGAAGAATAAGAGCAGTGCTCACCACTCACTGAGCTTCTGCTCTGGGCCAAACATCTGCACTTTCCTGCTAATCCTCAGACCCTGGAGGGAGGCATAAGGCGTAAGGATCCCCCATTTTGTAGATGTTCCAAGAGAAATTTTCTCAAGGTCTTAGAGGCAGAATTCAAACTCAAATCTATTAGTTAGATCAATGTCAGAGCCCCCACCCTTTATTTTTGCAAGGCGGGTCATTGAGCCTAGGGCATTGTACACGCTAGGCAAGTTCCCCACCACTGAGCTACATTGCCTGCCCTTGTCCCTTCTTGATACCCCCAGATTCACAATAGAAGGACAGAAGCCAGACCCAAGAGGTGCCTCATGGAGGCTGGCCATATTTAAACAACATCTGATTGACTTACCCCATCAACTAAATCAGAAAAATGATAACCCAGGAACACCTAAGAGCTTTAGTTCACAGCTTACAGTGATCCGAGGTGCAGCCAGCAATCTCCATTGGTCTGACAGGTGGAGGTGAATTCCCTCCACCATCTGAGTTCATATTCTGGTGTCTAGAGGACCCTGTTTGTGTATATTCATAAATGCAAACTGTCCAGTGGAGAGAACACTGGCATGGCCTCTCTTCTCCCCAAAACACAGCCAATCAGGATTCTGGCCTGCATCAGGACCCCGATTCTCCATCAGATAGAGCTATCTGGGCAGGCCTCCAGACAAGAACCTGGTATAAAGTCAAGGCTGGTATAAAGTCAAATAGCTTTACCTCACCTGTCCTTGGCCTCCAAGGAGAACCCTGAGCCACCCAGTTCTCTCCCACACTCACCTCTCCCACTGAGGTTAATAGTACTTAACTCCATTTCTTTAGCTAAAGAGACTGGTAGGGGAGAGGATCACAAATGGCCCCATGGAGTCAACTCTGTTCCCATCATTCAAATCCACAAATGCTTTCATATTTGCTCAAAACACCATTATTCCTGCAAAGCCTTCCTCAGCCCTCCACCCCATACCTTACTCCCTTTTCCAAACTTCTCTTAAGATGTCCAAGTTGTAATATTATCTTTTCTAAACACAGATGCTTAAGCAACTTGTCAAGGGTGGGGGGAGAAAACAGATGTGCATTTAATTTTCAACTACTTCCATGCCTCCAAGTTCTTTTTGGACCTTTGTGGGAGACTTTACATATATTTATACATCTTGAGAAAGTATGCACATACCATTTTGTGATCTCCTTTTAAAAACATGCCTTTCCAAGGTACCTTTCCATGTATGGACATCAGCCGCATGCCCGCCTTTTCCAACGGCTCTGCAGTGGTCTGGCGTGTAACGGTTCAGGGTTTGCTTAGTCATTACAGGATTGCTGGGCATTTGGGTTCCTTCCAGCACATTGCTATTATAAATAGCATTGCTGCCTCCTCCCAGTCGCTTTTTCATTTAATCACCCACTGCTGCTTAGCGGTTTAACTCTTTCTTGGGAATAGCCCTGCCTCACCAAAGGTGGGGACGGGGCTGAACTTCTGTATTCCCCTCACTGCTCACAAGAGTGCTGAGCTCAAAGAAGAGCTCTGTAACAGAAATACAAGCCATTCACTGAGCTCTTCTGTGTGCCAGACAGGGGACGGTAAGCACTTTGCATGTATTATGTTATTTAAGCCACATAGCAGCCCTGTGCTATAGGTGCCACTATGATTCTCATTTTATAAGTATGGCAACTGGTATTTTAATTCACCGAGTGATTTTCCCAGACCCACAGAGCCAGGAAATGGTGCGGTGTGATGCTGCCCAGGTTGCCTGACCATGCACACAGCTGGTGAGCCCATCTCCTTGAATTCAGTGGGCCAGAGCAGATGGACTCCTGTGTCTTTGCCGCGGGGACCCCGGCTCCTCTGAGGCTGAGGCTGGGCAGTCTTTTGTGACACGTGGCTTGGTAAGAACATTCTTCAAGATTAGCTTCTGCAGGATCCCATGACTGAAAGATCCCTGTGTACCTGTGCAGCTAATTGCAGTACTGGGGCCACCTCTGGGTGCCTGCACCTGTTTGTTCCTGAGCCCCGTGACAGCCTGTCTGTCTCCAAGAGGAGTCTGCATTTCATTTTCATTTCAGCTCCCAGAGTCCCAGATGGAACATTCAGAACAGAAGACGTGGCCTTCCTCTGATTCACAGCCAGTGAAGGGAGAAGGGAGGCAGGAAGGACGTGGAATTCCGCTCATGGGGCCCTCTGCACTTCAAATATTTTAGAGGAAGAGAACTGCAGATGTGCCCCCTGCCAAAGAAGCTTTGAGGGCCAGCGTCAAATGGCCTGGAGTGAGCAAGAGCTGGCAGGGTGACAACCCAGGAAGAATAAAGGACAGAGCTCCAGGCCCCTTCTCTTTCCGAAACTCCCGCTGAGAGAGCTGGCTCAGTGGGCCTGGGGGGCTCAGGGCAGCTGCAGCGACTGAATTGGTGCTCTGTCGTCACCTGCTCAGTGCCCTGAAGTGGAGAGCACACAGCCTCCAGCCAGCCCCCCTCCTAATCGTGGATTTCCATACTCGAGAAGCAGCCCCACAAAGGGGTCTCAAGGCGCCAGGACTGGAAAAGCCTTTCATCTGGCACCTAATTTGAGCACCTGCCTTCAGACAGGTGCAGATTAGTGGGGATTAGTCCACATTTCACAGGTGAAGCCACTGAGGTCCACAGAAGCCAAGGGACTGGCTCATTGTTGAGCTCAAGGTCACATATTTCAGAAACCACTAACTGGGCATCACTGAACACCTAACACTGGGTGAGTGCTGCAGTACCAATCTGCTAGTTACCAACCATCCTCTAAAATAGCATGATTTTTCTTTCTGAAAAGTAGTCCATTCTCTACATTCTCATTTTGTACCAAGTAAAAGGACCAGAGAAAGAACAAAAAGGAAGGAAAATAAAAACGATCTGTTATCTCCCACCTGGAGAGAATCCAGAATCAACACTTTGGTTTATGATGCGATCTTCATGCATATACATTTTACATAATTATGTTCATTTTTGTAGCTTACTTTTCTCACTTAGCACTACAAGCCATTTCTTCTCGTCATTAAGGGGTGGTTGTAAATATGCGTTTGCATTTAACTACCTACATTTTTTTGTATATCATGCCACATTTTTCTTAAGTATTTCCTCAGCTGATCAATTTCAATGTTATGCTGTTGTAAGTAACTGGGATTAACCTTTTGGGAGTGAAACTTCTCATGTATTTTTGTAAACTTCCATAATACAGATTTCCTAGAAGTGGAATTACTGGGGCAACTGAGGTAAATGTTTCAAAAAGTTTGTGGTAAATGTTTCCCAATTGCTCTTTGGAGGAATGGAATCCTTTCACAAACATACCAAGAGTCCTTGCTCTTCTGCTCCCTCTCTGGTTTAGCTGTTATCTTTAAAGATTTTTTTTAAAAAATACCTAATAAAATGATCAAAGTCATCAGTATCTTCAGTCATGAGTCTCTGTATGGCTTCCAACTCTTAGTCACTTGACAGATAATGACTAATTTATAGTTTCTTATATGCCTGGCTCCAGCGCCAAGAATCCTGCATGTATATCTCATTTAATCTCCCAGCTTCCCTGGGTCAGTCTTGTGATGCCTTTGTTTTGCAGATATGAAAACCAAGACAGTCACAGACAGATTAAGCAAATTGCCCACAGCTAGTAGGTAATGAGAGTTCAAAATAAGAGTCACACTTGTGTCTCATCACAAGTGCTGGATGCCAGGGATAACTTGAGGGCAGGCCTGGGCACTCTGAGCTACACAAACTCCACTCCTGTTTCTAAATAAGGGGCCCATGAGTTGCTTTCTACTTAGTGCAAGATGGTTCTGAAGTCTAGGGGTGAACCTGCCAGGGTCAATCAACAAAACCAGCAGGCAGCCTTCTATTCTGCCTGACATATTCAACTCCCCAAAGAGTTGAGCTATTCTACGGGGCCAACTTCCCTGCAGGAGACTTAGAGATCAGAAAAGCATCATTCTTTTCCCCAATAGCTTACAAAGGTAAATACTCAGATGACTGTTTTACAAGGTGGATTATAATAAGGGCCACAGGAGAGGTAAAGTCTTACCACTGGAGAGGTAAGACTTTGTTCTTTCTCTGGTCCTTTTACTCGTGTATAAAATGAGAATGTAGAGAATGGACTACTTTTAAGAAAGAAAAATCATGCTATTTTAGAGGATGGTTGGTAACTAGCAGATTGGTACTGCAGCACTCATCCAGTGTTATGTGTTCAGTGACGCCCAGTTAGTGGTTTCTGAAATATGTGACCTTGAATGGAGGTGACATTAAAACTCCTAAAGGGTGAGAAGAAGTTTAGTTGGCAAAGAGGACAGGAGAGAATCCCAGGAAGAAGTTCAGGGTGACCCACAGGATGAGAAAATGAAATCTTCCACATAAGTACAGGGAAAATGACTCAAAGGTTGGTGTCTGCCAAATTCAGGGGCCTTGCCCTTGATGTAGGCTGCAGGGCTAGATGTGTTCATTGCCCAGGGGACAGTGACAAATGCATATGGAGTTGATGAGAAATGTCAATGTGGAAAAAGAGATCTTGAATTCAAGTGAGACATGAAGAGGCTTGAACCAGGGAAACGAATGTGGGACTGAGACTTGATGCTTGGTGTTGGGGACCATTCATGATTGCTTGACTCCCCAACTCTTTCTTTTGCCCCCACATAAATTTTTTGCAGTCCTGCTGGTTCTTCTTGTGTGACACATCCCTAGGGCATCAGTCCCTTCTAGCTCCGTGCCACTGTCCCACATAGGTCCCCATTATGACTTGTCCTCTGTACAACATTCACCTCCAACTGACCTCCCAGATCCCTCCATGGTGGCCCCTGCATCTTCTCCTGCAGCCAGTCAAGGGGATCTTGCAATTTGTGGTCCAAACCAGAGCACTTATGAAAAATGAAATGGAGTACTACAAATAATTACAACAGGCAAGAGATACAAACCAGGACTGTCTGAGCAGACCTGGACATATGGATTCCTAAAGAAGGATCATTTGCAAACAAATGTGATATCACATCACTGCCCTGTTTAATAGCTTCTCTTTGCAATTAGACTAAAACTGTGTATGTCCTCACGCCACACCTTTTCCCCTACCTCACCTCCCTCTCACCTTCATTGTCTCCATGTTCCAGCCACACACGCCTTCTGTCAGTTCCAAGAAATTATACCTGCTGATCTGCACGCCCAGCCTCAGGTCTCCATGGGCTGGCTCGTCCTCCAGTTCAGGTCTCCTCCAAATGCCATCTCCCTCCCCATTATCATGTGTTTCCTGCACAACATCTGTCTCATTCATCTTTTATCTGTGGAGGGCAGAAGGGCCCAGCACACAGTAGATGCTCAGTATATATATGTATATACTCTGAGATGGGGTCTTTTTATTCTTCCCCAGCTGGCTGTGAACCTACACCTCAAGCCTGAGTGCCTTCTCATGGGGTGATCCCTGTTGTAGTGCTCAGCACACAGTATTTTGACTGGCTGTTTCCTCATGCCTCTGCCCCCGCTAGAATGTCAGCTCCCCAGAAGAAGTGTTAATTATCCAAAACTTGAAACTGAGACACAAAGATGACTACTCACCTCCTACCAGAGCATTATCCAACTCTCTAGGGACTAAGGTCTTGTCTGACTTAACAGTTTACCCTAGATTAGGCCTATGGAACTCTATGGTAGGTAGACAAATTGAGGACTGGGAGTATAGCTCAGTGGTAAAGCATGTGCCTAGCATGTGTGAGGCACTGGGTTTAATACTCAATAGCACATTAAAAAATAAATATATATTGTGTCCATATTATATATATATATATATATATATATAAAGAAAATGGATAAATTGAAAATGATTTCTAATAGGAAAGGATAACCATAAAGATTACAGTTTCATGATCTTGCAGGATGTTAACCATTTCTGAGTATAATTTTGATGTTTTATTCTGTCATTACTTTTTCCACTCTCTTCCTGTCTCCATATACATAAACATATATGTGTATATGTATGCATGTGTATATATATACTCATTCTGTATCCCTATTAACCATCATTAGCATCTTAATGGTTTAGGTAAGTCCTTGTGCCTAGGGGGTGGTAGAAGTGTGCTGCTCAGCAATCTTCCATCAAGTGCCTGAGTAGAGACTGTGGTCAGCTAGCAGCTAGGTGTGATGCCTTCTGGACTTATTTACAGCTTTCCTGCTAAGGTCAGGTCCTGATGGTGACAGAGCCCAGCTGGTCCTGGGCCTGATCATTTCTGCCCATTTCCTCTAAGGTGCAGCCTCTGCTCTGGAGCTTCCTGCTGGGTGGCAGAGACTTTCTCAGAGCCTCTGTGTGAGGTTCTTTCTTCCCCACCCCACGGCCTTCCTCTCTCATTCTGGGGAGTCAGACCTCTGAAATACCTCCCTGC